CTATCGTGCAGGTCACGGGTTCAACTCCAGGGAACTGTGCAGATACTGTACACAGGTAAGCTGAGGTCAAGGGATCGACCCCTGGGATCTGCATCGGCTACTGCCAAAGGTGAAAACTGTTTCATGCGGACCTGAATGCCAATCTTCAGCATATATTGGTGGTCGGCTGACAATGTAATATTTGAATTCTGTGAAATTCCGCGGGGCAGGTCGTTATTAGGCACTACCCCTTCTTGCGAACTTACCCCACTAACGTGTGGGATTTGCCGAAGGCAGCGGGAAGGATAGCTTTCATACCCCGCCTAAAACAAAAGTTGGAATGAGCCCTATTTTGTGCCTCGCTATTCTGAAACTTTTGGGGGAAGGGCCTATGGAAATTGAAATTTTGGCAGCCCTGACCCAAAAGAAAAGTTTGGGCCGTGGGCGCAGCTGGTTTGCGATCATGCGTGGTGAGTTTAACATTTTTGCCGAGTTGGGGCCCCTAAGAAATTATGAAACCCCTACTTTTTTTTTTTTTTTTTTGGACCTAATTTTCCAAGTGCGCTGCGCTTTGGTGCGCTGTGCGGTGCGCTGCGCGTGGTGCGCAACTCGTGCGCAAATCCGCGCACCGAGGTGCGCCGCAACTATGCTTTAAAGTCAAGTATTCCGCCGTACTGATTTTTGTTTCATCGAGATTTGGACATAATAAAAAATAACTGCGTAAGCACATTTTTCTCGAGTATGCGGTTTTCCGTTACTCAACTAAGGGTCTGTATCGTTGTTCCACCCCTCTGCTGTATTAGAGCAAGGAGTGAGCAGACTGGCCCCCCCGGGCCTGTGATGTATATTGTCAGGGGCTGTACCGAGCCGTACCCTGTGTTCTATTTGAATAGGGGGATTATGTGCTATTGAAGAGGCAGCGGGTTGAGGACTTTGGTTGAGAGCTGGAGACAACAGTCATGTGAACCACCTGATCAGGCATTGCATGTTTGTGAACAGGGCGAAGTATGAGTGTCGGCTTACATTCAGTTCAAATCGGGAAACTTTCTGTCTTTATGGCTGTTCTCACAGATCAAAGTTAGTGTCCAAGTCAGTTGTTGGTAAGTTTATCATTGTAGCCCAGTAATCGATCCGCAGCCAAACGGACTTCCGCAGCCAGACGGAATCGAACCAGTGACCTCGGCTGTAACAGCCAGATGCCTTTACCACTGCAACGATGACCCGGTGTTCAAAACTGAAGCCATACCGGTCGTGACATTCAGCCCACCCCAGCACCGTTGCAGCAAGGACTTACTCGTCAACACGTGACATCCATGAGATCTTCCGCAGGCAGCAGCATCCATGCAGAATCCAAGACCCTCCGCAGTTGCCGATCAGCATCCCATACACCAAACTCCAGGTGAACATCCCCTGGCTGGTGAATCGGCTCGTACCTGTTGGTAAGTTTACCATTGTAGCCCAGTAATCGATCTGCAGCCAAACGGACTTCCGCAGCCAGACGGAATCGGTGACCTGCAACTACTGTCTCCTAGAATTGAAAACAATAGTCCCTGTGCAATGAAATCAGTGACCGAAACTTCAGCGGAACCTGTGCGGCAGACCACGGAGCCAGTTTTAATGAACTGTATCCTTCTGACTCAGAGGCTTAAGCCCAACATGTCTTTTCCCAATTGAGTGAGGAACTCAGTCTCAGCAGATCTTGTCCAGCAAGGCCATTGACCGGTCTCTATAGACTGTAATTGCGGATTTAGAGATTCAACCTCATCAATCAACAACGGAAAATCGGTGGATTTTGTATGGTGGCTCCTCCATTTCGAGCTCATCAGACTTGAGTTCTGTGTAGTCAGGGGCTCAAGCCAAAGTGGCTCTACTGAATCAGTGGATTTTGTATGGTGGCTCCTCCATTTCCGGCAGTATCGGGGGAAAGGAGTGACAGGGTATTGTCGGCTTGCCGACATTACGGGGGAGGTTGAAGACGGGATATTGTTGGATTCTTGTGCTTAAAGACTATCTATTTTTCGATTCATTGGTTGGCACCCTGTTGGGTTGCAAGCACTGAAGACTCGTGGAGTGGTTTGCATGATGCATCAGCATGTGCATGGCTACGCATGATTACTTTATTGCTTCAGCAACATTGTATGTTGCTCTCTCTCTCTACTACGACAAAGGCGCTGTAACCTGCCGAGGGAGCCGCTCGACGATTGGTGACAGCGAAGTTAGTTGGCGCAAGAGCACGATAGGTGCTGTCTCTTATACACATCTAGATGTGTATAAGAGACAGGTGCATGGCTACGCATGATTACTTTATTGCTTCAGCAACATTGTATGTTGCTCTCTCTCTCTACTACGACAAAGGCGCTGTAACCTGCCGAGGGAGCCGCTCGACGATTGGTGACAGCGAAGTTAGTTGGCGCAAGAGCACGATAGGTGTATGGAATGAGTGAGACGAGAGTACGACGTGAAGATTGAAAGAAGTACGAAGGAGCTCTAATCGAACAGAAGAAAGAGGCGGGTTGATTGTAGGACAAGGACGAGTGAGTGGGGTGAACGGAAGTGGGCGCAATGGACCAAAACGACCAAGGTGGTGGAAACAACCAAGGAGGAGGTGGTGCTGGGTGGAATGGGGGCGGAGGTGGGGACTGGGGACCACCACCACCATGGTGGGGAAACGGGAACGGGGGTGGTAATGGGGGAGGGAACGGCGGAGGCAACACGTGGGGAGGAGGAGGTAATGGACCATTTGGAGGTGGGAATTACAACGGCTGGAACAACGGGGGATATGCACCAAGGAGGCAAGTGCGTTGCTATAATTGTGGCCAGTTCGGGCACTATTCACGTGACTGCCCGATGCCGAGGCAAGGGGGTGGCAATTTCTACGAAGGAGGGAATGGGCAACAAGGAGGAACTGGAGGTGGAGGGAATGGCGCTGACACTCAAGTAGCCGGAACCGGGGTGGCTACAACACTAGTCGTCAAACTTAGTAAGGAGCTTGAAGAGTCGTTCGGCGCTATGGCTTCTTTTTTTAAGTTATCGTTAGATGAGAAGAATAGAGCGGAAGCAGCGAAGAAGGAAGAGGAGGAACGGAAGAAACTTGACGAACAAGAGAGGATTGAAAAAGCTGAGATTACGAGAGCTGAGCTGGCAAAGAAAGAAGAGGAAGAGAAGAAAGAGGCGACATTCGGAAATTGTTAAGTGAGCAGCGGGTGTTCTTATGAAAAGAAGTCAAGAAGGCAGTTAATGAGGAGATACACGACATGGTTAATAAAGAAGGGAAAAAAGTTATGGAGGGGGATGGGTGCGAAGAATGGGAGGAAGAGGAGGAGGAGGAAGAGGAACAGGAGGAACTGGCGGCGTCAAGGAGACGAAAGAGAGTACCCGCACAGGAAAGGAGAATGGATAATGGCTCTCCGAACGAAACTCCTCCGAAGGCAGCACGTGGGAACTGTTCACGACAACCCGTTTTCCAAGTTGCCTCACCAGTGGAGCAGGAGAGGAAAGGAAGGGGTCGACCCAAGAAGAAGGATGCGGGCTCCTTGATTATGGATCCATGGGGTGGAGCACCGTGCTCGGCCGACTTCAGGAATAGGGTAAGTTATAAAATTGCGATGGTAAAGTTTGTCGCAAAGAAGTTGTGTTCGGAATTGAAGAAGATGTGTAAGAAGGAAGGCGGTGCATGGAGAGGGAAGAAGGATGAAGCGGTGGAGGAATTAGTTGAGTTAAGGGTTATGCAAAGCGTGTTCGAGTGGCACGTGCACCTAGGCTCGGTGCAACGAGCAGCCCGGGTGACCGTACCAGTTTGTCCGACTGATAGGGCTAACGAGGCCGACACGATAGGCGCTGACGGTCGGGAAGGGGGGGCTGAGTGAGCCACAGGTATGGGGGTATCTCAGGGAAGTACTTACGATTAGGGGGAATCTGGGATTGGATAGGAAGTATTTGAAGATAGTTAGAATTTTAAATAATCTTTGCCAATTGTTGTTGTTTTTTCTGGTTTCAAAGGGGTGCATCACGTATGCTAATAAGTTCCGGGGTCTATTGATAGAGGCCTTTGATGTTAACCCCAAGGAATGGCTTGATGCCAGTTCATGTCTTTATGTTATTTTAAGTCCTTTCTGTCGGAAATTCTACATTGGGAAAACTGAGCGACTTCTGGAGGTTAGATGGCGGGAACACGTAAGGAATAGTGAGTAGTCGGGACATGGTAATCTGTTGTATTCATGGTTGGGGAAGTTTGGATGGAAGGGGTATATTGCGTTACCTCTGATATTGACTAAGGGAGATGAACTTTTGCGGGTCGAAGGGATGTGTATTCGCCAATGGTCACCATGCCTCAATAGTAAAGGAGGTAGGAAGTCGGGAAGGAGGGGGAAGCGAAAAGGGTGTCGGGCCAGGAAGAAGGACGCGAGGCATGTACCTTGCGTATCAGGAGCATCAGGCAGCGTTGTGAGATTCAAAGCGAGGGATAGGGAGTATTGGGATTTGATTAATTTGTTGGAGGCAGGGTACGAGACTTTGAGTCGAAAAAAGGAAAGTGGTGGGTGACGAAGTGGTCGGTTATTAAGAGGAAGTTTGGGTCAACCGTGGTGAGAGTGAAAGGAAGTGTGAAAAAACTTAAAGACTGTAAAACTGATTTGCAACAGGGTGTCCGGGTTCGGGTAATAAGGCTTGTGCAGGGGAAATTTGGACTAACAAAGGATAAAAAATTGTTGATTCGCTTGTTGTCGATTCCCTGTACAGCAAAAGGATTGTACAAGCTACCATTGGAGGACCTTGTTCGTTTGTTTGGCAGCTAGGACCTTTTCTAAAAAGGCAACTAGGAAGAAGGTTTAGAGCATACTAGATGGAGTGTTGTCTAAGAAATTTGGGATTAAGCTGAGGAGGCGTATCGTTGTTGGGATTACGTTTAATGAGGGTATATCAAAGAGGGAAGTACGTCGTCTTGTGAAGGAACGGATTAAGGAACAGTTCCCAGAGTGTGTGAGCAAGGTCATTTGTAGTCGTTTACGTACTGTCTGGAGGAGCAATCCATCAGTAGGGAAACTTCTGCAGAACCACAGATCTGCTGCGTAGAATGTGGTAGGTGTCTACCCATGTGCAGACTCGGATCTCCCGAAGGTGGGGGAGCATGTGACTTGTAAGCTAAGCTCTGTGTGCTATATTCCTGAGGACGTGGTCAACGGGAAAAACGTGGTGATGAGAGGAGTGGACCTAGTGAGGGAAGTGACAAAGGAAATTAATGACTCATTTCTCAAATTTGGGTTGACAAAATGGGTAACACCGAGTGATGTCATGAGTGTGCTGACTTGTTCCAACGGAAGTAAGAAGAAAGTTGTAAGGGCTGATGAGGTGGAAGTATGGAAGAAGGTGCTGGTGAATTTTGTTAGAACCCCGCTCGATAAGAACCCAGCTGAAACTCTAGTTATGTGTCCAAAGATATATGCAGAAGGGATGCGTGACATGTTCTGGGGAAAAGGCAGTTTTGAACCTGTGACTTGCGATGAATAGGATGTGTTGGCGGGGTGCAAAGCCAAATACCAAGAGGAAGGGTTTGGGGAAATTGGGATTTGGGATGGGAAAGGGAGGTTGGGTAGGGCATATGTAATTCCCAAGAATAAGGATGTGTGCAAGTTCCATCCTATCACTCCCTCGTACCCCGAACCTTCCAGACAGGCGGGGCAACGAATTGCAAGGGCACTGAACGGGATGATTCTGATGATTCCACCGTCATGGCACTTTAATTTGCGCCCTGTGGGTGACCTGAAAGATAGGATAGATAAGATAACTAGATGGGCGCAGGCAAAGGGTAAGGGAGGGAAAGTCAACGGGCGGTCATTCAACGTTAAAGAAATGTTTAACGAGCTTCCACACTCGTCGATCAAAGTGGCGGTTGAGTGGTTGGTGGAAGTGATGAGAAGGAAGGGAAGGAATGGAGTGTTCGTAAGAAGAAGTGGGAAAGGGGTCTCATTCGCAAGACAGAGCGACAATGAGTGGCTTTTCATTAGTTTGGACCAGATTAGGAGGTTTGTGACGTACGAGTTGGACAACACGTACTTGGTTGCCGCAGGGCGACTACTTAGACAGGTAATGGGGGTCCCTATGGGGAAGAGTAGTAGCCCCCCATTAGCCTGCCTACTTTGTGTATACAACGAACCGTGTTTTTTGGACTCATTGGGTGGGGACAGGAACCTCATCCGAGGAATTAGGCTGGTGGACGACCTGTCAATTTTTGTCTGGGATAGCGGTACAGTCCAGGGGGCTCAGAAGGCAGAAGGGCTGTTGAAAAAGCTAGATGGGATCTACGACAAAAACCTGCAGTTAAAGAGAACGGATGAAGGGGAAGGATGTTGGGTGTTTTTGGGCTGCGATCTCAAGGTGTGTGCGAAACCAAACAGGGTGGAGATTCGGTACAAAGGAAAAAACGAGGAAAACGTATGGTCCAGCAATTTCTCTTACAGGTCGATGTAAAGCTACGAGTCGTACACAGACGGGAAACAGAAGAAGGCGGTTATTAACAGTGCTCTGTCTCGAATTTGGGCCTGTACGTCGTCATTGGAACTCGTCAAAATGCCCCTGGTGACTTTGAGTAGGGAACTGAGGTTACTTCGGTATCCACGAGAATTTTTTACTGAGACTCTAAACCAGTTCATTGGAAGGAAGGCACCAGAGTGGGAACGGTTTCGGAACTTAGGCTAGAACTGTCGGGTGACGTCGACTGTATTTAGCAGTTGGTGACACCTGACCCTCCCACCAAAGGGCCGCTGCCCCCTGATGATATCGGTACTGACGCCGATTGAAACGCGTAGGGGAATGCCAGAGTTCCGGCAGTATCGGGGGAAAGGAGTGACAGGGTATTGTCGGCTTGCCGACATTATGGGGGAGGTTGAAGATGGGATATTGTTGGATTCTTGTGCTTAAAGACTATCGATTTTTCGATTCATTGGTTGGCACCCTGTTGGGTTTCAAGCAATGAAGACTCGTGGAGTGGTTTGCATGATGCAGCAGCATGTATTAGTAGTTCGTTTTTTACGTAACAAATATCTGAAAATTTCTGATAAATCACATTTCGTTTTGTCTGAAAATTCCCGATAGTAGCATTTCGTTTCTCTGATATTTCGCATACATAGCTGAAATTTCTGAATTGGGATAACGATAGAAGTGGTCATATTCTCGGAAACTGAAACTATTCTTTTCTGAAAATCGCATTTCCATTCTATCTCCCAAAATTTTTTTGAAAACCGAATCTTGCGAAGCCTACCAATATTGCGTTAGGCATATTTGGAGGTTGCTATATTATCAGAAACTGGATTTCGTTCTTTTCTGAAAATCGCATCTTTACTCCATTTCGCAAAAAAAGTTTCAAGATCGCAGTTGGTAAAAGCCAAAACTTTGCGGCACCTAGCCTAGATCTCGTTCATTATACTCTTCTGACATATCCTACTCATCAWAAATCGACARATATATAMAAAAAAAAAAAAAAAAAAGGAAATAGTCCTCTTTTATTTTTTATTTTTATTATATCTGTTGATTAGGGTCGGAGGAAAGCATTGTTGGGTTGGTTACCTCCCTCCGTTTCCCTCCCACCCACCCCTTGCATGCATCCCGTTTAGGTACAGTGCCACGTCAGCAGTGGAGATCAGCTGTGCCACGTCAGCAGTGCCACGTCACAGTGCCAAGTCACAGTACCACGTCAGCAGTGCCACGTCACAGTGCCAGATCAGCAGTGCCACGTCCGCAGTGCCAGATCAGCAGTGCCACGTCCGCAGTGCCAGATCAGCAGTGCCACGTCCGCAGTGCCAGGTCACATTGCCACGTCARACATAGTGCCACGTAAGCAGTGCCACGTCAGACACAGTGCCACRTCAGCAGTGAYRTTCAACACAGTGCCAYGTCAGCAGTGCCACGTCAGCAGTACCACGTCAGACGCAGTGCCACATCAGCAGTGACACGTAAGCAGCATTGCCACGTCAGCAACATGACGGGYCTGCCAGRCCAACTGGCCAATGAGACCATTGCCGCCTACAAGCAGCGTTGCCTGGCTCAGATAGAGGCTGAGGAACAACGCCTGCTGGCAGTCGAGGCTGCCCGCMTACAAGCTGAAGAGGCAGCAGCAGCAGAGAAACTGCGGCTACAGGCCGATGCAGAAGTAGATGCCCAGGCTCGCCGAAAGGAAGCCCAGGATCTGCTGCAGCGGCATGAGGCCAACAGCATCGACAGACTCAAGTACTGGCATTTTCAACCGAACGGCGACGATGCAACACCGGAAGAAAAGCACAAGGAGTTCCTCTCCAAACTCGTGACGCGGTTGTTGTATGCTTGCAACTACCAAAGGTCAGAGTTGGAGAGACAGCACCGGGACCTGACGCAACAGCATCAGGAGTTGGCGACGCTCCGCCGCACAGTGCAGAGCCACGAGGATGCAACTCGGGCACTCAATGCCCGATTGTTGGACCTGGAACAGGCTGTACCAGGACCAGCTGCTGAAGCTTCCAGCAGTGCACCCTCAAGCCGCCAACTTGAGGACCCCGTTGACCACGTAGTGGCAATGCTCGGCGACATCAGCACCTTCGCTGCGCCGACCACCACCATCAGCAGTCAGCTGCATACATTGAAGACCGAGGTCCAGAAGCTGCAGTCGACGAACGCGGACGACAATCCGAAGATGTACAAGATGCCAACTTTCAACCTGGAGAGGTTCGACGACTACACGCAGCAGGATCCCGTCCTCTAGTGGGAAGCATTCACAACGCAACTCAGGATTCTGCCAGTAG